GACATTTCCAGCAGACCCACAGCATGTTCCTAACAGCCTTGTCCCAGCAGTCCTGGCTGCCTCCCTCCCCCAGTGCCTTCACATCTCATATTGCATTTTATTAATGCAATCCCCCTTAGGCTAGAGGGAATCGTATCCCAGGAGACATTCCAATCTCAGCTCCGCTTTGGAGGGGATCAGAGAGAGGCAAGGGTGGGGGGACATTTCATTGCAGAAAAACTGGCAGATTTAACATGCTGCAAGACAGCACTAGCAACCTCCTTATCAGACACCGAGCCACAGGCTGCAGCCAACTGCTCCGTGCTCCTGCTCTGGCTCACTGCCTCCTGAGGACCACTTGTTTCTGCTGTGTCCACACTGTGGGCTTAGAGCTCTACACCAGGGCAGTGGGCTGATCCCAGGGTGTGGGGATTGCCCTTCTGTTCAGGGATGAACACAACTGTGCATGCAGGCAGATCTGTGCTGCCACAGGGGCTCGGCCAGGTCCTTCTCCTATACAGCGCATGCCACGACCACCAGCTCCTCATCATGCTTGCCCTTGTTGCTAGCCAGGGCTAACATCTCTCACCAGAAATGGGAGCTGGCTCCCAGGCGTCTGGCTTCTGAGGTGAATTGTGTTACGCACTGAGCCTCTGCCAGGAAAACACCAGCAGATGAAACTCCATCTCTGGCCAAGAGACATAAAGATGGATATGTTTTCCTTGCCTGGCTTATCTTGCGGGCAGTGCTTCTCACTGTAGCCCCGTGCTGTTTGTGTGCACTCTGCTCCTGGCACAGACCAGGAGCTGATTAACAACAAACACCATGGCCTGGAGCCCACAAAACCACGATGGAGCAGAGAGCTGCTCGCTGGGGGCAAATCCCAGAGCTGGATGCAGTTGCAGTGGGACTGTGGCCTTAACTCAGAGTTAAAGTCGATGAAGTTTGAATGAAAATCAGTCACAAAATGCAGAATAAGTAGCAGTGGCCCACGTATGACTTTCTGGCCTAACCAAACCTTTCTAGAAATTCATACCAAGGCTGTTGTATTAGCCTGGTTAAAGAGAAATCTGGGGGAAAAAAAATTAAAGCCACTTTATTTTGGAACTCTCAAGAGGCATGGTTTGGATTCAGGACAACTTGCACAATTCAAGTCACCTCATTAAAAATTATGAAGAGCTTTGAAGCCAAGCGCCTCACCAACCAACAGAAATGTTCACATATTACTCTAGATGTTACTTTACTTTTCTACTTCTGATTCCAAGGCCTCCTACTGCTCCCTCCCCACACTTCTGTGCTGCGCTGCCAGTTGAGAAGCAGCACCTGGTAAGTCAAGGACTGTCCAAGAGGGAAATCCTCCCCAGCCCTGGCGTTTCCAAGGGCAGTTCACCACATATGCCCCCCAGCCCTGTTTGCTCCTACCAGCACCTGCACAAACATCCACTTTGGCTGCCCAGGGAAAAACATGATGCCAGGGCTAAAAGCAAAAGAGAACCTCTGAAAATGAGAGGGTGAGAGCAGTGACTTGCCTGATGGTGATGCTTTCCCATTTATTACCCATGGAGCAGTAGTGATGGAGACAATTCACGAGGCCATCATCTACCGAGGGAACAGGAAAGACATTAGAGGAACCAAAAGGGTTACTCTGTCCTGGGGCACTGGCTTCAGGACCCTCCTCCAGCTGCTCACAGCAGTGCCCCAGAAGTGCAGTGCTCCTGCTGATTTTGCAGGGATCCTGAGGCCAGGCCCTCAGCCCCACAGCACACAGCTGCGAAAGTCACACCAGGGAAGTGGCAGGAAACAAAAGGACTTTGGACAGACAGGCCTAATCCATTTAAATTCAGTTTCTCTCTCACCTCCCCCTTCCCCTTCTCTCAGAGACCTCTTCTCTCTCCTGCTCTCAGTCCAAAGTGCCACAGCAGCGTCTCGCTTCCCACTGAAATGTCACACTGACTGAAAGTTATGCTATTTGCTATTCACAACAGTGAGAAATCAGAACTGCTGTTTTCTTCATCTTGCACACTGTTAGCACTGGCTGGTGGTTCCTTGCAAGGCTCATGTCATGATTAGCACCAAAGGAACAAGATGCTCTGGCACCATGGCCTTGCAAAATGTTCCCCAAATCCAGCTAAACAAGGATTATCCAGAGAGCTGGAAAAAGTGAGCGGGGGAGGCTGGCTGCAAGCAAAAGGGCAGGGAATCCCCCATGCTCACTGTCTGTTTCTGAGGCCACAGAGCTCATCATATACATGACACAGATGACCTCTACCTCACAAGCATCTCCGCCATTCTCATCCCTGTTGGCAGCTCTAAATGGCCAACAGCTCCTGGTTTGAGCCCCATCACAACTCAGGCACCAAGGAACAAAGTATGCGGCCCAGCCTCAGCTCACAGACCAGCAGGCACTGAGGCAGCTGTCGAGCAAGAAAATCCATGCACCGGTGGGACCTTCCAGTCATGAAGGATCCTATGGACCTCCTGCAGCCACATGAGCTCTCTGATCCCCAAAGGTTGCTCCAGCCCAGCAGAAGCTGCAGGAAAGCAAGCTGGCTGCACTTGCTTTGAGAGGTGTCAGCGTGTTGGTGCTCCAGGGTTGGGTTGGAAGCCCTGTGCTCCTCTGCCAGAATCCTCTGTACAAGCAAGCTGCACACTGATGTAAGGATGAGGGCTGTACAGGCAGACAGTGACTGCGAGAGCTCCTAGCAGAGTAGTGTTAGCAGAAAAGGGTTGTGCTGGCTGCACGTACAGCTGTCAGCAGAAGGTGAGCACACAAGCTCACAACCCACTCAGTGGGCCATCTTCCTGCTGCTGAACATGTCCCTGCTCTGCTGGAAAATGCTTGGAATCCCAAACACACCATGCACTTTCTTTTGTGCTCAGTGTCTTGGCAGGAACCGGCTGTTCTCACGCACGGTCCCATCTCTGTAACGCCTGTGTTTCCCAGAACACCCCCTTCCCAAGTCTCCTTTTTTAAGAAGAGCCAAGCTGCCTGTCGCTGCCTCGCGGGCTGCTCCCACGCCTCTCCCTGCTTCCCCAGGGCACCAACAGCCTCCCCTGGCATGGGCTGAAGGCCCTGAGCTCCCAGAGACACCAGCCATTCAAATGAAAGACACTAAAGAAAAGCGAAACAAGGGCAGGAAAGCCTTCCTTGCCTGAACCCAGCTGTCTGACTCAGAGCAAGGCAAGAAAGTAAGAACTTCTGTGTGTCCCAGAGCAGCGGAGCGTACACTCCACAGCATGCAGCCTGAGCCCTGCAAGCATGTTTCCCTGCTTCTTCCCTCTGGCTGCACCCACAGGTGTGGCCTCTGGGATACCTGTAGAACACCACTCCAACAAGGGACAGCTCCTGCCAACCCCAGTGCTCGCAGTGGGAGGCAGGTGGGGCCCGAGCTGTGACCAGGTGTGGAGCTCTACAGCTCTACACATTACTTCTGTGCAGGGTCAGGTCAGGACATCACTCTTGACTGCCTGACACACAGTGCTAGGTGGGCTTTTGCTTTTCTGCCTCACCTTCCTTTGCTCAGCATTGCAGTGCTGTCCAAGCAAGGCCACCACCAGGCTCACTCTTCTCTGCTTATCATACTCAGTATTTACATCCTAAATATGGTTTCCATAAAATAGAACATGAACAATTCATCACAGACAAATAAAACAGTCCTACAGACTGGGAAGTTAGGAAGCTTTAACCACTCCCCATGCACCAACACAGGCAGCTGGAGATCAAAGTCTCCTTATTTGCATACATTTCTTGAACCAATTTGCAGTTAAACTCTGCTGAAGGGATGCTGACACAGTGCAGAGACTCTTCCCCACAGGAACCAAGAAACCAGAGCTGTGCACTGCCTGCCTCCATCTCCAGGCTGAGCGGATGGAGGCTTTGGCATCCCCAAAACAGGGGACCCTTCCTTTCCCTTCCTCAGCATCCTGCCCAGGGAAAGCCCTCCTGTGGGTGGTAAGTGAAGGGCCAGGCGCACACAGTGCTGCCATAGAGCCCCACAAATGCAAAGCAGTGATGCAGGCACATTTCCTGCATTAAATCCAGAGATCAGGTCTTCCCTGTGGGGCACTGAAACGTCCAGGTGTGCAGAGGATGGTTTTTGTCCTCTGGAGGGGAACTGGAAAACACCTTCACTGCCCACCCACTTGCTCCCCTTGACCCAGGCATCAGCCCTTTTCTGAACTGTCACAGATGACAGCAAAGCATCTGACTCATTTCTTCTAACCTGCTTTGAGGCAGCTCCAAGAACTTTTGTGGCCCCACAAAGCACGCACGGAGTGGAGAATGGTGAACACTTGTGGGATTTCAGCAGCACTTTTCAAACCCCCTCCCAAGCACGCCCCGCAGAGCAGTCCCAACTTCGAACACCAGCCCAGTGAGAGCAGAAACCAGCTCCGGGTCTGGAAGGAAGCACTTGCAGCGTGTGTGCAACTTGCAGCCAGGTGCTGCCTCACTGTAGATGTAGACGGCCGGAGGCAAAGCAGCATCGTCAGCCCGGGGGCAGCAATACACAGCCCCGCACCTCCTCCTTCTCTTCTTCCTCGTTCTCCTCCTCCTCTCTCCCCCCCAGCCGGGACTGAAGCCCCCGGCGGCCCCGCGCCGTCCGGCCGCGGCTCCCGGCGCCTCACTCCCTCCCTCCCACCGGGGCGTGAAGCCCGGAGGGCCGGGGGGCGGCGGGGCGGCCCCGTTCCCGGGCGGCTCCGCCCGCGGTACCGACGGGCCGCATCCCCTCGGCCCGCACGGCTGTAACCCGACGAGGGGGAGAACAAAAGGCAGGAGCGGCAGCGGGCGGGAGGGAGGGAGGGAGGGAGGCGCGGGGGGAGGGCAGGCGGCCGCGGGGGGATAAAAGGCGCTGCGGGACCCCCCCCGCCCCATGTCCGAGCCCGCCCGCCCCGGCCGCTCCTCGCCGCCCGGCATGGCCCGCCCGCCGCTGCCCGCCGCCGCGCTGCTCGCCGCCGCCCTGCTGCACTGCGCGCCCGCCGCGCCCGCCCGCCGCCACAAGCCGGTGAGTGGGGACGGGCACGGCCCCCGGGCGGGCACCGGGACAAAGAGGGTTTGCGAGAGGATCCCCCGCCTTAAAGGCATCGGAGCCGGCCGTTCCGCGTGAGGAGACGGGATAACCGGAGGAGAGGGGCGAGCAGGCAGCAGGGGCCGCCAGGTCCCGGCACCTGGGATGCGGCTGCGGCGCCGTGCCGAGGAGCGGCGACGGGAGGCACCGGGAGCGGCTCGTGCCGGGAGCGGCTCGTTGGCTACTTAGCGCGTGTGCTGCACCGGTGTGCCGTAAAGCAGCGGCAGAGCGAATGCCCGGTAGCAGCCCGCGGGGATTAGTTGAGGGTCTGCCGATGGTTTTATTATCGGCTCTGTCATCTGAGCGCTTTCTAACTTGACTGCTAAGTATGCTGTGGGCTGGGACTTGGCACCGAGCAGCTTCGGCCCCCGAAGCGTTTGTATTATTCCAAACCAAATGTCACCGCTCTTGGCTCAGCCGTCCCTCTGAGGAAGGTGGGGCCGGGCGTTTCCGCGGCTCTCACCCACAAGCTGGCTGCTGCCGTGCGGGGCGGCCGTGCGGGCCGACTGCGGAGAGGCAGAGCGCGCAGCCGGCGGTGCTGCTGCGTGCGGGGCTGCTCGCCGTGCTGGGGGCCGCACGCAGGCTGGGATGCTGGCGCTCCCGAAGGGACCTGAGCGGCTTCTGGTCCTGCTGCCAGCAAGGACCCGCGAGGTTCCCAGGGGACGGGAGAGCCGGTCACGTGTGTCACATCCTCCAATCCTCCACGGACATCCGTGGGTCCGGTCCTCGCACCGTTCGCATGGTGCGTGCAGCTGCCGGCCGGCTGCGGGGGCTGGCCGGACCCCCAGCTGGTAGCCTGCTGTCCCGAGGCTGTTTCCTCCTCAATCTGGGTTAGCGCTCCGCATCCTGAGTGCTCATACTTTTCTCTTGGCTGGAGTAACTCCACGTGATACCCCTACAAGTATGTTTTGCTAATGAACATCTTGTGCTGGTGTGTTTGATCAGCCACGTGGAGATCAGGGTTGTAAATCAACATTTCATTCAGTCTTTACAGAAAGAGTGGCTGCGCTGCTTTGAGGGTTGAAATGGACAGATGTTTTTCCATTCTTTTAGATAGAAAGGATCACCCCAGATTTCCTTTTGGGTACATATTCCTTATCTGGTGTCAAGGCTCCTGTAGGGCATTCTGGTGCCTCCAAGTACCAGCCAGCATCACAGTGGCTGCTCTCGGCAAGTAAGATGACAGCAATGTGCCTCATCCCAATCCCAGTGCCCCTGCTGGGGTACACCGTGGGGTGGAGCAGTGACTGCAGGGAGGAGAACTGCATGGTTGTCAGTGGCCTACACGTGAATTTCTGGCCTCACCCCTTCTCTGCCCTCGTAAGAGAGCTCTGCCATGCCATCACATGCTCTCCTGGCTAATTTTAGTCCTTCCACACAGAGAGATGTTTCCCCATGTCTAACTGCAGCTGTTTTCCTTCCTGTGCACCTTGTGCTGTCGGGTGATGAATGAGAAGGGAGCCAAAGGGCTGAGCTGGGAAAGGAGGCTCGCTCCTCTGAGACAGAATATGGTGACTTCCTCAGGCTGTGCCAGTAGGAGGTGTGGGCGAGGACTGCCCAAACCCAAACTGGGGCTGCTGGGTGCTCCAACACCAAATGACAATAGCCATAGTTGGGAAGAGAGGGGAATAAAGGGTTAAAATTCATTTTAAGGCTGGAACTTAAGAAGCTTCAATCTTTGTAGCAAGCTTTGTAGCTCTCCTTGACTTTTACCTTTATGCTTAAGAAAGAGAAAACAGAGTAAAACACAGGCTGTGTCTGGTGTCCACAGTAAAACTTGAGAACAAAAGAACTGCAGTCTCTGGGCAGTGCACGGGCGCGTGCTGAATTCCTGCACTGCTTTCAGCTCCCCTGGGAATTCAAAGTCACTCCGCTTGCTGGGAAACTCTCCGTGGAAAAGCAATGGCACCTCCCCAGCTGCCAGCACCGTCACCCGGGAGCTGCACCCTGCAGCTGTTCCCCCAAAGCCGACAGTCCTGGGATCCCTGCACTGCTCTCCTGCAGCCCCCAGCTCTCAGCGGAGCTGGCGAGGCAGCGCCTGCAGGAAGGGTTTGATTTGCACTGTTTGGTTTGGCTATTTAAATACTGCAATGAGTGTTGGGGTAATTTTAGGCATGTTTATCCTCTGCTCTGGGAGAGACTCAAGACACATGTAAGCAGTTATTCTCCAGTGGGCCTGTTGTGTTTGTGCTTTCACATGCAATATGCACACACCCCGCAGTGTGGCAAATGGGGTGCAGCTGACAAAGCAGGCTGGAAAGGGAGAAAAGGGCAGAGGGGAGAGAAGCACTCTGTGAAGACCCCACACTGCAGCACACAACTCACTTTTACTCACTCCCCTGGGTGCAGCCTGCCCTGGCCCACAGCTCAGAGGGGCTCGTAGAAGCAGGGTGAAGGTGTCATTCAAAATGGGGATTCTATGGAAAACTTTTCAAGCTGAGTCTGCTTGTAGCTGTCCTCCTTGCAGTGGGATTTAGGTAGCAGAGAGGCATCACAATCTCACACCATCTCACTTAAGTGGTTCTGAAAATGCATGGAGGGAGAAAGCCCACTGGACATCTCCAGCAGATCAGGCAGGGGAACAGTGCTGTCTCGTGTGTTTGCTGCATTCCCTGAGGGCATCCCCCATAGCTCTGCAGAGGGCTGCACTGTGCCTGGTGGCTGTACCAGTGGGAGATGTCCTGGCTGTTGTCCCCAGGTTGAGCACCAGTTGCTCATCGCTCACCTCAGCTTGGATGTAAATGCATAATGAACAAAAAAATCTCAGCCCTTCCTCCTCTGGCTGGACAGCACTGCATCCTAGATTGGTTTCTTGTCAACAAGGGGATTTCTAGGTCATCAGCCTAAGGGCTCTTGAAACCTTTCACTATCCTGGCATCCTGGGGCTTGTTTGCTTTCTAAGTACTGCTGCGTCTGGCAAACTGTTGCTTGGGTGACACCAGCAGCATGACTGCAGTGTTAATGATGGACCAGACTCACAAACTGTTATGTAATTAAAGCGTCTGATAACAAAAATAATCCTGCAGTGTTTATTCATTTGCTTTCTCTTGTTACATCAGAGCCTGGGCCTTTTCATTCTGACTGTGGGCATAAACATTTGCAGTCTATAATGTTTCGTGTTCTGTGTTGCTTAGGAAAAATAAACATTTTCCTTCTTTCATTGCCAACAACAACTATCACCAAATAATCCGGAAACAAACCGTCAGGCCCCAGGAGGTCGTGCTTGGTGGTGCTGTATGGGAGCGAGCAGAGAGGAACCTCCAACTGTGTGAAGGCCAGGAACTGCAGCACCTCCCATTTGGCCTCATTTGACCAAAGTTTGGCCTTTTCATTTCCATTCCCTCTGCTCTGTGTGCAGTAGGACAGAGCTGCAGCCCAGCTTGAAGGAGCCAGTCCTGTTATAGATGTATTTGGTGTAAGTAAAGAATTCAAAGGGGCTGGGAGAGAGCCTTGTTCAGGGAGGAGGACCAATAATCTGTTGACTTTGCTTACACATTTCTTCTACAGCATTTCCATTAACTGTGCCTTCTGACCAGCAGCACACAAAAAAAATGCTGTGGACTTCAAGCTACAGCATTCACACCTTTGTGACCATCCAGTGCTGCACTTATGGTCTGCCTCCATTCTCTACTCCAGAGTGGGATGGCCCCGGTTTCAGTGCTAACAGCTGTAGATGACTTCCAATCCAACCCCTGCAGATCCATGCTGGGATGAGAAGCAGGCTGGCCAAAATACTGGGCACAGTACTCTGTGCCTGAGGAAACCAGCGCTGATGTCAGGCAAGACCACCACCAAGAGCCTGTTCAGCGGTGCAGAGCCACTGAGGGGGCACAGCTGCCTGGCAGCAGACAGAAAAGACATGCTGGAACTGTTGTACATAAGAGCCACAGGAGAAATCATATCTGCTTTTCTTCTCTGCACACTGAGCTAAGGGAAGGAGTGCTCTCCAAGGTGCAGACTCGTGGATGGGAGGAGGATAATCCTACTAGCCAAAGGGTGAGCAAATACTGGGACCACACCAAATACTCTGAGTAACAGAAGAAGAAAACAAGGAGAAATAGAAAAGCATCAGAAGAGAAAGAAGGTGAGGAGAAAGCCTATCTACTCATCCCATAGCAGAAAAGAAAACAGCCCTCAGCGACAGGGGAAGTATCCAAGACTGATGGAATTCATGCTGTAGCTTGTCCAGTCCCTCCCATCTGACAGGGAGGGGGGTCTCCTTTCATGTCTGTGCTGCAGGAGTCAGCAGGAGCCCAGCCACAGAGGTAATTACATGTGTGACAGAGAAGACAAGTTTAAGTTCAGGGCAGGCAGCAGAGGATGGACCCAGTCAGAGGAGAGCACTGGAGTTGTCTGTACCTGGCAGTGGCCTTGCTCTTGAGGTTTTTTATACATCCATTGTAGCTGTGCTGCTCTGGCTGCTTCTCTTTCTGGGGGATGAGTGCTGCCCAACACAATGAGGTTAAAGATGCTCCTGGCTCCTCGGGATGGCTGGGACACTTCCTGGGAAGTTTGGCTGATGTTCATCTGGCCCCATCAGAGCCAGAGAGATGTATGTTGTGTCACAGAATTTGAGTACTGAGACAGCTGGAAGGAACCGAGTGGGCAGTCAGCACCTCCATGGTGGTTTCTGCTCTCCCGTGGGATCAGTCCTTCCCCTCCAGCTCCCTCTCAGCCTTTTGGTCACAGGGCTGTTAGGAAGAGGTACTTTCTCTTCATAGCTCTCTTTGTGAACAGTTTTGTTCCTCTGTTCTTCTCTACTCTGGGTTTCAGGCCTGGCAGCCCCTCTGTACTCAGCCACTTCTGCTCTGCACTTGCAGAAATTTTGCTGCTCGGTCTCCATTGCAAAGCCTTGGCTTCTTCCCCAGCGGAAAGCTGCCTGTTCCTGTGTACACTCACCATCCCTGACTATGGGTTATCCTGTGAAGGACAGTGCAAAGAGCTGCAGACTGCTGTAGGCTCAGAGGCAGCATATGCATGGGAGGGTTCTCATAGGCTGGGGATCAGCTGTCACTGGGGAGAGCTGGCAGGCCTCTAAAGCGCTCAGCTCCCCCAGGCTGGCAGGAGAGAATTGCTGGGGGGTGAGGCAGCCTCTCTCACGCTGTCTGGTTTCCCATCTTCCCTGCAGGTGCTGTTCTTGTGCTCTGACCCAGCTCTGCATTTGGCCGTTCTGAATGTCTTTCCTGGCTTGTAGAGACCTCCCTTTGTTTTGGTCTTCAGCAATCCTTTCCCCTCTGCTGGCAGGATGGGAGGAGTGTGGATGCCCTCATGGTTATCCTATAGCCATTGCCTTCCTAAGCCCTTCTCCACAGGTGTGTCCTTGCTTCAGCAGCAGCACAGCTCTAAGCAAACCCCTAAGCATACATTTAGGGCATATCACATATGAAAAGCTGAAGAAAACAAAGCAGGAGCTCCCTGAAATTCCCATACATATCCCAGAGATGGGTGGTTTCAGCACAGGGTGGAAGGGATTCAACCTTAAGTGACAGGATGTGCCTTATCTAAGCCTTGGGAAGTGACTGCAGTGAGGTGTGTCCAGTCAAGGAGGCTGAAATCTCCAGCCTGATACGTCTCCTGAGCATTGTTTGGAAAATGGTTTCTGCCCGTCACATTTCCCCTTGCTGGCTGTGCCTGCAGTGGCATTTTCCAGCCCTTTCCTGCCATCATGCTAATGTCAGTGCAGTGACGGCAGAGAGAGACTCTATGTCCTACCACTGTTTGTGCAGGGGTGCAGCAAGTGCAGGAGCAGCAGGGCAGGTCTAAGTCCTGCTTCCACCCAAGGGACCTGCTGGTGGCCCCTCCCAAGCCCAGTCAGGCTCGATCATGGCAGCGGGAAGACAGGTGGAGCAGGGAGGGTCCTGCTGGAGGTAAAGTTGGGTCTGGATGGCTGAAAGCTGGAGTTTGTGCCAACAACCTCAAGTTAACCATACAGTAGAGACAAAACCTGCCTGTCCTCAGCCCCTGCACATAGGTTCCCTCAGGGCAAGAAGGAAAAAGGTAATTTCTCCTCTCTGCCTCTGCTCAGACATTGATAATCTCCAGTTTATGCCAGTGTTCCTAGCCAAAAAGCCAACAATTGACTTTTCCTCCACTTGACAGGCCTCCAGCAGTTTGGGTAGATCTTGTTATCATAGCCAAAACAGAAAGCCCATCTTCAGTTTCAGCCCACTTGCCTATCTGGGTAACTCCCGTATCATTTCCACAGTGAGGGCTTTCCCTGAAGTCCATCCGCACTCCTGTTCCCTATGTGCCTTGAAGCAGCTGCCTGGTGCCTCCTGGCCCTGGAGATGCAGGCACATTCATCACCCCATGGTAGTAGAGTGCTCCTGAGCAGTGCATGCAGTGTGGGAAGCCAAGAGCCTTTCAGACTGGGCTTTGGTGAAAAGCATCAGCAGACACAGCTGCCATTATATGCTTGGCAGAGGGTTTCATGGGGGCTGAGAACAAAGTATTGGCCAGGACACAATCCTTATGAGCTCCTCCTGCCAACTGTCCTTCTCAAACATTAGCTGCCTGGGAAGGCAGGACGCCAGGCCACTCTTAGAGAGTTCAGTTTAGAAAGACAGGTATCTTACACTTGGCAGCGCTCCAGCATTCGGTGGAAGCAGGCTGGTGCAGCCTTCCCTTGGACTGGCCAGCTGATGCACCCTCCTTTCACTAAAGGATTAGATGGATTCCCCATGCAATGGCTGGTGGGTTGAGTGGGCTTTGTTGTACAAGACATAAAATGGCTTTCTTTGCCCTTTTTAGTGGTGTATGAAAGTGCAGCGGGATGCCAGGATGGGGTTGATGCAGAGGCTGGTTTCTAAGGCAAAGGCTGGCAGATGCCAAGCCCCAGGCTGGCAGACTGTCAGGGAAGACAAGCCAGCACTGTGAAGTAGTGACAGACATATGAAGAACTGGACACCTCAACTGCACCTTGTGCAACCTCTCTGGCTCCTGTGCCCATCCATGCATCACTCTTAGGCACGGGGCAGTCTCAGAGTCAAAGCCCAGTAGCGGAATTAATGCCAAGGACTTCACACTTCATTCCTGCCCGCATGAATGGGCTCATTGTAGGGGAACAGAGGGACGGCAGCACGCGGATTACACGGCACTGCGGCAGCACTGGCATCGCGCCAGCCCGACCCTTCAGTCCTTAGGCAGGCAGGAGAGCTGGCCTGAAAGAAGGCAGCTCTCTGCAAGGAAAGGAAGAGACCCCTAAACACGACTTAAGCCCTGTGGGACAGAGCCTGCCTGCTTGAGCAGATGCATCACTGCTGCATCTCAAGCCCTCCTGGTGCTCAAGCACATTTAAATCTGGCTGCACAGAATGAAGCAAAAAGGGCTGCATTTGGACCCAGGGCTCACACAGCACAGTTACTTGGGAATCAATCAGCCTCTCACCGTATGTGCCTCACAGCAGATTGGGGATTAAACTTGACTCACGTATCATGGTGGTCCTGTGCCCCATAATCTTGCTGTTAGTTGGGAAACCAATGGAAATCAGTTAATTAGCACTAATTAATGCTTCCACAAGGAACCACGCTTTTCTAATTAAGTGTGAGAGAGTGCAGTGACCTTACTGCAAGCAGATCTACAGGCTTAGTGAGGCAAGGGGGGATGGTCCTGTCCTCTCTCTCACACAGTGACAGGGACTAGAGGAACAGTCACTGCTGCTCTGCACTGGGTTCTGTCACCCTCCAGATCCGTGTATCCTGCTCTCCAGCTTGTGCAGCCCCTGAGCCATGCCAGGGGTCTGCTTATCACATTACAACACCACAGGAGGGAGAACAGGGCGCACAACCATGTGCTGGGGACTAAAGGCTTCCTCCTGTTCATATCACCCACATCACTGCTATCAGGGCAAGGAGGGAACACAAGCTAAAAGGATGTGGTGAAAAGTGGGAAATTTTACTCCCTCCATAGTGATTTATTTCATGTTTGGAGGGTCTGGTTCTTATCCACAGTTTGCAAAAGCATTTCATGCTGGCCAGCTGTCAAGGAAATGCGGACCAAAAGTAGACTTAGGGTATGCTATGGAATTAGACTTTGTTCACAGGTGTGACCTGACCTCGGAGCAAGAACCCAGGGAACTGAGGATGTCTGTGGGAAGCAGGATGTGCCTTAGTAGCCAGGGAAGAGACCAGGGAGAGGTGGAACTCACCTCTGCAGGTCTGTTATTGGTAGATGTTCATTCTTCCATCAAGACCTCATATCCCAGACACAGAAGTGACAGCTTTGCTTTTCTGTTCCAGGACATGTCTCGAAAACATCATACCTGGAAGGAGCAGAGTCCCTGGCTTTCATCTCTGGTGGGGACTGGTGTGCCCACCAAGGGCTTCCCCATGGGTGCAGATGAGCAGGCAGCACACTGGAATCCACCCCGTTGTGGTGTGCCAGACCTCCCGGTGCTGCCGGACGGCCAGAACGGGCGCAACCGACAGAAACGCTTCGTCCTTTCCGGGGGACGCTGGGACAAGACTGATCTCACCTACAAGTAAGAGAGACGTGAAATGAGAGTAAGACTTAATGGCTTCTCCCTCCCTAAAACTCTCCATCTGATGTCCCCTGACTGCGGCATGCTGTGACGTCCTCATACAAGTAGGAGGGCAGCCCTGAGTTGGGTATAGCCAGCTTGGCAGGGCAGCCACACACCAAACTGCCTGCAGGACTGCACCCAGCACCTCTCCATCCCTTCATGCACGTATTCCTGTAAATGCAGATGCTCACTCCCCTATCCCAACACCTTCTGCACATCCACCCCTCAGCTTGTCCACAACAGCTTCCCAGTGCATGCCTTTGCTTCCCCATACCAAATCCCAATATACATGATTCTGGTGTCAAGTTTTGCCCAAACCAGTCCACACATTCTCAACTGCAGATCTGCTGATCAGGTCTAAGGGGAGGTTGTGTTGTCTCCCCAGTTACCCATAGGATATGAGGTATGAGTGCTGAAGTAAGCACACTTGTATGGACTTCAACAGCACCTAATATTTTGTTTAATTGAGTGCAGGAGATTGTTCCTCACAGCATTAGGAGGCTACAGATGAAAGAAAGTCTTCTTCCATTTTTTACTTTGGTGAACAGTGTTAAAAGAGGAAACACAGCTGAAATGAGCACACACCAGCACTGTTAATGGAAGGGAAAGTAAGCTCCCTTTGCAGCAGACCTGACACTCTGGTGAGTTGCAGGGGGGCAGAAGAGGCAACTGCTCTGAGCAAGCCCAGATTTTCAGGGTCAAAAAGTGCAGAGATTGAGGAGCTGAAATCACATCACACCACTCCCAGGCAGCTCTGTGGGGATGGACTCAAGACAGAGCTGGGAAATGCAGCCCTTTACTCCAGAAAAGCACAGCTCTGCAAAGCTCTCTAGAGAGCTCATCTCTGGGCCCAGTAGCCCAAGGGTTTCAGCACTGATGGAATTTGCCTGCTGCAGTGTTGCATGGAAGAGGGTGCTGGAATGGAGCTTCTCTATATTGGAGATACTCTGGTGCCACGAGGGAATGGCTGATGCTCTTTTCCCCTTGTGTCTTTTGCCTTTTAGAATTATCAGATTCCCATGGCAACTTGTAAAAACCAAGGTGAGAAGGACCATCGAGGAGGCTCTGAAAGTCTGGAGCGATGTGACACCGCTGACCTTCACTGAGGTTCAGGAGGGCCGGGCTGACATTGTCATTGATTTCACAAGGTGAGCACGGCAGGTAGCAGCAACACACTGCTCCCAGATAGAGCAGCAGCACTGTGTACGAGATCCCAGCCTGCAGCTGAGCTGCCAGCACAGCATGGGCACCGACAGGGAGACACATATTTCAGCTCTCAGACTCGGGCATGTTTTTGGTTTTTCTGTCAGATGTGGGCCGCTTAGTGTAAATGCAGCTGTTCTGTGCTGGCTATGCACAGTACCGTTACTAATCCGTCATTAACTCTCTGTGTTTATTTACATTTCTCTGCCCACAGGCTGTTTTCCTAAGTGTTTGTTTTGACGTTCTATCTTCAGGTCCTCCGTCCTGTCCCCTGACAGAACAATGTAACTGTCTGCCTGAAGACAAATATAGCTTCCTGGTTAAATGAATTTTGGCTCTTGGCTTGAAATTAATGACTGGCAAAATAAGCACGGGAGCAAAGGCTTCCCTCTGTGGGCTGTTTGCACAAAACTGGGAACAGCAGAGGAGAATGTCTAAGCAGGGATGCGATTTGTGTTCTGTGTATTTGCATGTGCCACCCTCAGCTCCCTAAAGCAATCACATCTCATGAATTTCCTTCAGTTGCCAACAGTGGACTCAGCTTGAGTGAGGACTTGAGGATTTGGCTGGCTTCCTCACAGGCTGCCCCTCCACATCCCCTGCCATTCAGCTGGGTTGACTTGATTCTGGCTCTGGCAGCCACCTCCTTAATCTTTAGGTTCCATTGTCAGCTTTGTCTTGAGAAAACCATAAAACTCCCCTGGGCTTGGTGTGGTGGGGCTCTACTTAAGGCTCTACTTACTCAGCCCCAGCACAGAACCAGGTTGGCATCAACCTGTAGGGCTCCAAGCAGTAATTACAAGATTAGCTTGTGGTGGAAGAGAGAGCTGCTGTCTCCTCACTGTGATTCTCCACTTTTGGCTGTGCAATGCCAAGCACCTGAGCCACATGGCTGTTTGTCTGAGGTGCACTGTTGTTCCCTTCCAGGTACTGGCATGGTGACAATTTGCCCTTTGATGGGCCTGGAGGGATCCTGGCACACGCATTCTTCCCCAAGACGCATCGGGAAGGAGATGTCCATTTTGACTATGATGAGACCTGGACGATTGGGAACAACCTGGGTATGGTACTGTCTAAGGGAGCTGTGGTGTGCCAGGTGCCTGTCAGCACACTTAGAGATCATTTAACTGTGCTTTGAGCAGAGTCCCTGTAAAACTGATAGGCAAACATCATTCTTGTGGGATGTATTGTCACTTCCTGCCACTTACAAGCCTGCTGGACTTTTTTGTCCTCTTCCAGCCACAGCAAAGCCTATGCCCAACATCAAGACCTTGGATTCCCAGAGCAGACACAGGCTCACACATTGGATGATACACCAAGTGGCTTCCAAAGGACAGCATAGGAATCAGGCCTCAGAATCAGTCCTGCATGCCCTCAGAGTATTTTCCCTTTGAACAAGTCCATAAAGGGAAGCTACCCAGGCTCCAGCTCTGTCCCTGTGGCCTGGGAATGCTCTGACCGTAAACAATGCCACTGCAAGTTAAGACATTTTTTTCTTTGCCAATAATAGATCAGAGCTGGTAGCTCACTGCTCAGGCATTTGGGGCCTGGCGTCACAGTATCCATGTAATACCACAGTACCACTTGGGACCATCTGGACCAGCGCCCAAAGCATCCGTTTCTGCAAGAGCCACCAAAACTAGTGCAGGGACAAAGACACAGACACAAAGCCCGAGTTAAATCTCCACCCCTCTGAGGTTTTCCAGATGTTTTGTCCACATTGATGTCAGGGCTCAGATGGGCCCCCTCAAGTCTGACTATGTCAGGTGAACGCCAGGTTGGCTCTGTGGGGGACAGGACTGTCACGTCTCCAACTTGGTCCTTGCCATCCTGATACAAGAATCTCAGCACCAGGTCTTGCTGCTGAAACCTTTCTGCTTCTCAGGGACAGGTGGGTTCTGATACGTTGCACCTCCCATTGGGGCTGCATGTGCTGAAGAATTTCCTACATTCTCTCATAGACAGCGTTGGAAGCAAACCAGAACTGTCAAAACAGATGCCAGTTCCCATCAGAATCCAGCCCTGTTCCATGGCCTTTTCCCCCCCTCTGCCTTCCATAAATAAATGTTATAAAAGGTCTTTGCAGCTAATTGCTATTTAATATGCCGAAAAGAGCTTTATGATATAAACACGGTTTAATCCTTGCCTAAGCTCTTAGAGATAGGAAAATCCTTAGCCTCATTAAATACATGGCAGAGCAGAGGGGGTAAGGTGCCTCAGGGTTACCCAAAGCCGTGCATGGAGCAGGACTGCATGCAGAGGACCTTCTGTGTGGGACAGCAAAGCACCCAGCACAGCTCCTGCAGACATGCTGTCCTTCACCTCCCCAGAGAATCTGACAATACTGCTGCAGATCTGCCAACACTGGAAAGCATCGAGTGAGGAGCCTGCCAAGTTAAACACAAGTGTCTGAAAGTTTGTAATAAATCACTGATGCAGAGACCTCACTTTGTCAGCTGACGTAGGTGTGTTGATCTAATTGTGTCAGTGCTGCAAAAATTCATCGCTTCTACGTGCAGCTGACCAGTAGAGGAAGACCAGGGCTCACCTTCCCCTCCACCCTTCCCAGGCTCCCTTCCAGCTGCATCCCCATCCCGGTGCTGAGCAGTGACCTGCTCCCCTGGGCCAGCAGGGAAATCCCGCTCGGAGCAGTGAGACCAGCTGACTCACATCCCTGCCTTTCTCATCACCTGGGCTGCAGCTCGGAGGATTTCTGGCTGAAGGCAAGTGAAGGAATACGCTGAGACTTGTCAACAAACAGCCTCTGCTCACAAGCTTTGCTGCTTAATGTTTCTCTTACAGACTTCCCTAAAATGCATCAACTTCAAAAATGATCTATTGGAAGCTAAATAACGTCTGCCAACCAAACAACATTTTTGTTTACTGAAATACACTTTTCTCTATTTACTCTTACAAACGCTGTCAGATCACATATTCCCAAAGTACAATCTCCCATACAACTTCTTGAGCTTGGTGAAGAAGGGCAGGTCTTGACATTGGAGGAATTTTTGTGTGTTTATCTTTAAATGCCCTCCTCTTGCCACAGTCCATACACAAGCAATAAATGAGCTCCCTCTGCTGTCTGCGTGGCAGCCACCACTCGCAGGCTGTATCCCCGGAGAAGTCCCCACTGATACGAGGAACTGGCACAGCAGGCATGATATAAGAGCTACCTGCTACATTATAGCTGTAGCTAACAACTGTTGCAAGCCTGGGTGAACAAAGAACAGCCTTTCCACCCACCACTTATGTATAAAGGCCAGGTTTCCTTCCTTCTGCAAAGTTCTCCTTTCCAAAAGTATGTGGAAAACCCTCATCTTCCTGATAGCTAATGAGTGCAGAAGTCCCTGGAGATAGAATTAAAGATTATCAACATGCCCAGGCTAATACCTGAGCATATGAATTCACTCACAGTGCTCTGGAATCAGTGGATCTCTTAATTATTCCCTTTGATTCCTTAAAAACACACACACACACAAACAAACAAGGTATAGAGCTATACAGGAAAACATCTAGGAACAATCAGCAAGCTAGATTTCTATTGCTGCATGTCAGACTCCTAGAACATACCTCAGTGCATTGTCAAGAGCTGATGATCAGCAGCAATGAACCTAATAGGACAGCGTCCTCTCTGTGAGTACAGCCTGCCCATCTCACACTAACAGGCACAAGTGTCTCCTGTCTCATCCCTTTGCAGGCACTGACCTCCTCCAGGTGGCTGCTCATGAGTTCGGCCACGTGCTGGGCCTGCAGCACACAACTGTCTCCAAGTCATTGATGTCTCCTTTCTACATCTTCCGTTACCCACTGAGCCTGAGCGAGGATGACAAGCAGGGTATCCAGTACCTCTATGGGAAACCCAAACTGGATCCTGACCCAACCCCAACACAGCCAGCAGAGCTGCCCCAGCCAGACCTTGAAACAAACGAGATCACCAACATGGAGGTAAGCAAACCGCTCGTCTCGTTCTCCTTTAACACCGTGGCTTGGGCTGCCCACACCATGGGGCCAGCAGCAGGCTTGCACATGATTTGATACCTGTTTTCCTCCCACACCACTGAGCCCAGTTGTAGCGTGACATCCTGGACTTGGGGATGTCTCATCAGCTGAACCCAGCCTGGGTGAGGGCGGTTCTCGTGAGTCCCAGCCCCTGACCAGGCCATGCTTTGGCAGGCTGTGCAGCCCGATGCCTGTGAGACAGCTTTTGATGCTGCAGCCACCATCCGGGGAGAGCTGTTCTTCTTCACATCTCGCTACGTGTGGCGGCTCCGAGCTGGAAAGCTGCAGGCCGGTTACCCAGCTCTGGCCTCACGTCACTGGCAGGGGATCCCAAGCTCTGTTGATGCCACCTTTGAGGACCCTCTGGGCAATATCTGGTTTTTCCAAGGTAAGAGCTGGACCGGGATCAGACGGCTCAGAAGTGAATCTTCTTTACAGAGGGGTATTCAGGACACAACAAGTCCCTGGGAAAAGAAACCCTTAGGATACACTCAGCAAATCATGATCCTTGCTGTTTACTTCTTTCTCTGTTTAAGCTTTTAAGCAGCTATTGAGGGGGGAAGAGAAAAGAAAGGGTCACTTTTACTTTAGACACAACCAAGATATGCCATTCTCCTCCTCTGGAATACAATTGTTTTGAGCCTCTGCCCTGGCCATGCTGCTGGCAGAGGAGAAAGGAAACATTTGTAACATCTTTCTTGGGGATTAAAACAGGAGAAAAAGGGCAGGTTCACTGGTGCCCACAGTCACTGAGTTTTGCTAGCACTCAAAAACTATGAGCCCACAAAGAAGGTAGCCTTTGTACAGAGCCAGGCAACCTCCAGCCACCACAGGAATTCAACATTAGGCACCACAGCAGGGTGAGACCTCCTGGACAACTCTGGAGCTTAAGACCAGCAAGGACTGCTGTTTCAGTCCACTGTTTTCTCTAATGCTCTTTCCAAGTGTGTATTTAATAGCAGGGACACAGAACTATGTAACTATGCCCAACTGCCTTGACTGTGCATGTCCCATCTGTGCGCTATGAGACCAAGCACCAGAAACCACACCAAGCATGTCTGCAGGCAGCTTTACCACATAAACAGATTGCTTAGCACCTCACCTGCAGATGAGGTTTACAGTGTAAAAATTGGCAGGCTCCCACCATGAATTAAAATGAGATAAGGGGAAAGTATTACATGCCATAGGGCAATTGCAGAGATTCTCGTTTTAATCTAACTGGGAATATGTTCCCAGTCTCTGTTTCAGCTTGGCAACAAGAAATGGGGTTCTGTAGCTTGCCTCTCTATAGCCAGTGTCCCCCTTATGCCTGCACACACCTACGTATGATGTCCTCCAGATAAACGGTGGGGTAAGGGCTGATCCCTGGGTCCTATCCCACGTGTGGATGTGACACACAAGGAACGTGCTCCCCTCAAGCCAGTCCATAACCCATTTTGCTCCTCTGCACCCACCTGGCAGCCCCAGGCCTCGCCACAGTGATGCCACAAGAATCAGCTTTTGTTTTGTCATACTCTACAGCTTTGTGGATTTCTTTATCCAATGGTGGGTTCTACTCCTTTTTCAGCATAACCAGGGCAGACTCAAAATTCAGAGCTGATTCAACTGCCCAAATGCATCCTCAAAAACTAGAGGCAACCCCATCTGATTGGAGCAGCTAGAGAGAAACACACACAGGCCTCTCCAACACCACAGCCATGAACCTGTGAGAGGCCAGGAAAGGCAGCCTGGCAGCTAGTATGTAAAGTTAAATCTTGTATTATAACTTCCACAAATATAGAAGAGACAGCTGCTAGGAGTCCTCCCAATCACACCATTGACAATTCTGGGTTAAATTGAGGGGAGAATTGAATTCCTTACCCGCTTGAGGGGCATTCATAAACAGCTTTCCCTGGGAGCTCTGCCTAGGTACCAACTCGAGTCTGCAATTCATTGCCAAGTTATCTGACATCTAAGAACCTCTGAACCTGTGTCTCCCCTTTTCCATCTCCTCACCAGATTCTCAGTACTGGATTTATGACGGCGAGAGAAGAGTCTCTGGTCCCACCCCAACTGTAGAGCTGGGCCTCCCTCCTTCTCCTGTGCAGGCAGCTCTGGTGTGGGGGGCAGAGAAGAACAAGATTTACATCTTCAGTGGAGGCAACTACTGGCGCTTCAACCCTCGCACGCGCCAGGTGGACAACATCTACCCCCGGACTATGGCTGACTGGCGTGGTGTCCCACAGGAGATTGATGCTGCTTTTCAGGATGAGTTGGGTCAGTGCCAGCGGGGACAAGGCCTGCTCTGGGGCATGTGCCCAGGATGATGCTACTTCCCACCAGAAAGACTTAGACATTTGGTAGCAGTGGACACTTCCCAGCCATGGCACATGCCATGCCGTTTATAGAGATTGAGACAGGTCCCTCCAGTAGGGTAGGGAACTGAGGACTATTTCATGAAAGTAAGGAGTTTTTAAAGTATTAATTAGAACAATCAACACTTAAGCATCTGCTGAGAGAAAACCTAAAACTTCTGGTAAATGAATGGTCACAGAATCCAACCTAGCTGTTACCACTCCCAACAATGGCAGCACAGCAGCTCTGCCCACAGTTCAGCCTCGGCAGCTGTGCTGAACAGACTGGCTGCTTTCAGTACTACGTAGTGCTGGCAGCTGAGCCAAGCTATCTCACCTACTCCTCTCTCTGTCCTCCACAGGTTTCGCCTATTTCCTGAGAGGTCGAGACTACTGGAAGTTCGACCCCGTCCAGGTGAAGGTGCTGGAAGGTTACCCACGCCAGATCAGCCAGGACTTCTTCAGCTGCACACCTTCCTCCAACTCCTTCCGATGAAGGAGCATCCCCCACTTTTCCCTTCCATCCCTGACCTCCAGCAGCCACCGATGGCTCCGCTGCCCGTCCTGCCTCCTTCCAGGCGCAGAGCCTGACACAACAGACGTCTGTCACAACAAGTGACAAAGGTTGTTCCTCTCCTGTTCCAGCAGCAGCCCCAGCTTCGGTCACTATCAATACAAAAGCATCTGCCACATTCTTTACAGACACGAACAGGCCGGGCCCTTCCAGCGATAGCATCCCAAAAGCCATCAGGCCCGCCTGGAACGGGACCTCCCCCCCATAACCCCGACCCGCCGCCGCCCTCCGCTCTGTGAGGCCGCAGCCCCTCAGCCAGCCCGCGGCTCTCAGTGCTGGACACTGCCCGTCCGCACCGCGCTCCCGGGGACGGAACCAAATGCGGGCGTCAACGTTTGTACGATGCGTATAAACCCTTTTTTTTTTTATAATATATATATATATATACTGTGTATATACGTATGGATGTACCAATAAAGCGCCTCTTTTCTACCTGCCGCCCGCCTCCCCTCAGCGCCGCCGCCGCGCGCCGGGTGGGCGGGAACGAGCGGGCGGGAACGAGCGCGCGGGGCGGTGCCCGGCGCATGCGCAGTGCAGCAACAGAGTAGGCCGCGGCGCTGCCCCTCCCGCTGCGCCCCGCTCCTCTCAGCGCCGCCGGAGCCCCGCCAGGCCGCCGCGATGATGATGATGGCGCTGAGCAAAACCTTTGGGCAGAAGCCTGTTAAGTTCCAGCTGGAGGAGGACGGAGAGTTCTATATGATCGGCTCCGAGGTGCGGACAATGGCGGGGGTCGGGGGGGGAGGCTGAGGGATGAGCTGAGCTGTGTGGGAGCAGAGGGCCTTTGCTGCAATGATAGCGTGGGAAATGTGCGGCTGAAAAGAGCCGTAGCTGCGGGCGGTCGGGCCTTGCGTGCCATACGAGGCACGTGGAGGAGGAGGGATCGCCTTCCTGTGCCCTGCTGTCTGCTGGTGAGCGCCGTAGGGCAAAGGTGCAATTAAAAATGGCCTGAAAGATGGTAAGGTCAAAATGAGTCCTGTCTGACGAGGAATGTGAGCCCCTTTGTGGACTGTAAGCACTCTACAAGCAGAGCACCAGTCTAGAAGTCCGCTTTCAGAGCCTACAACTCATCCTGTTGTCTAGCAAGCCTGGCTGGAGCCTGCCCTGCTGGCTTGCAGCGAGAATGTTGTGCTGAGGAGAGCAGAACTGCTTTGCAGGTGTTCAGCAAGCCTGGAGGAGGCAGAGATCACATCCTGAGTATTGCAAGGATTTAAAGGACATGGCAGGAGTGCGGGTATCTGAGGTATCCCAGTGGTGTCTGGGAAAAGGGATGCTGCTGGGTTAAATCCCTACTGAGCACTGCGTTGATACAGCAAAGTCAATGTTAAATTGTTCAAAAATACAAGAAAATGGATTTTTGTCAATGAGTTGGAGTTTCTTATCAAACTAGATTAGGTTTACAGAGAGAGTGGTGAGGTGCTGGAACAGCTGCCCAGAGAGGGTGTGGATGTCCCATCCCTGGAGGTGTTGACAGGTTGGATAGGGCTCTGGGCAGCCTGGTTTAATATTAAATGGGGAGATTGGTGGCCCTGCATGTGGCAGGGGGGTTGGAGATTCATGATCTTTGAGGTCCCTTCCAATCCTGGCCATTCTGTGACTCTGTGATAGTGAAGTGCTGATAAGAGCTATGCTTTCTATCTCGTGCCAAAAATTGTGCTTTATGATGCCAAACCTGATATAGTGAATTATGAAAAACATTTAAAAAATCCTCTTGGGAGAATTTTTGAGGTCGCTGTTATCATTACAGAGGATGTCCTGTTTAATATCTTATTGATGACCTGGATGAGGGCATTGAGGCACCCTCAGTAAGTTTGCAGATGACACCAACCTGGCTGGAAGTGTCGATCTGCCTGAGGGTAGTGAGGCCCTACAGAGGGATCTGGATAGGCTGGATAGCTGGGCTGAAGCCAATGGAATGAGATTCAACAAGACCAAATGCTGGGTCTTGCACTTTGGCCACAATAATCCCAGGCAGCGCTACAGGCTTGGGGCAGAGTGGCTGGAAGACTATGTAGAGGAAATGGACCTGGGGGTATTGATTGATGCTAGACCGAACATGAGCCAGCAGTGTGCCCAGGTGGCCAAGAAGGCCAATGGCATCCTGGCTTGTATCAGAAATAGTGTGACCAGCAGGAACAGGGAAGTCATTGTCCCCCTGTACTCAGCACTGGTGAGGCTGCACGTCGAGTACTGTGTCCTGTTTTGGGCTCCTCGCTGTAAGAAAGACATCGAGGCCCTGGAACGTGTTCAGAGAAGGGCAACTAAGCTGGTGAGGGGTCTGGAGCACAGGTCTTACAAGGAGCAGCTGAGGGAGCTGGGAATGTTCAGTCTGGAGAAGAGAAGGCTCAGGGGAGACCTTATTGCTCTCTATAACTAGCTGAAGGGAGGTTGTGGTGAGCTGGGGGTCGGCCTCTTCTCTCATGTAACTGGTGATAGGACTAGAGGGAATGGCTTCAAGCTGCGCCAGGGAAGGTTCAGGCTGGACAGTAGGAAATACTACTTCTCTGAAAGGGTGGTCAGGCACTGGAATGGGCTGCCCAGGGAGGTGGTGGAGTCACAGACCCTGGAGGTGTTCAAGGAACGTTTGGATGTTGTGTTGAGGGACGTGGTTTAGCGAGAACCATTGGTGATGGGTGAATGGTTGGACTGGATGATCCTGTGGGTCTTTTCCAACCTCAGTGATTCTGTGATTCTATGATTTGTTTCAGCTTCTGATAAGCATTTCTTTAAATGGAATATGATTCCAGGTCATATCTTTGTTTTTCTAGGTGGGGAACTACCTGCGTATGTTCCGGGGCTCACTGTACAAGAGGTACCCCTCGCTCTGGAGACGACTGGCCACAGTGGAAGAAAGGAAGAAGATAGTGGCATCTTCACATGGTAAAAAGATGAGTAAATGCTCCCAGACTAAATGACTGGCTTGAAGAACCGTCTCTATAGGCTCAGAAGCTTGTGTACCTTTAGGGCTTTGCTAATCACTTCAGATTGCCTCAGTGATGGAGTGTTCTGCAAAATATGTGTCCTGGAGTTGGCTGCATTGCAATGCAAAAGTCACACCTCAAGATAAATACCATATTCCAGAAGGGAGTTTTATTAGTGAAGAGAGGTGGTTCTGTCCCTTAGCCCATTGAAAGCATGCACTTCATATGTTTATGACTCCCAGAATTTGTACTGCGTTTCTACTAATGTTGCCGCCACAGTGAGAACACATCCACCCTGGTATTATTTTTGATGGGAGACCTTTAGTAAGTACTTATATTCATTAGCAGTGTAACTTGTCATATGTTCCTCAGGCTAAGGCATAATAAAGAGAAGTGGTTCATTCTATACTTAGGCCTCCTTCTTCTAACATCCTGCTGACCCATTGCTGTTTTCTTTCTTTTCCAACAGAAAATCAGCGGTCTCACAGTCCCAGAAGATGTAAGTCTGATTTTTGTGTTATTCTTAGCTGTGCTGCAGGAATAATCTCTGCCATGACCTTTAGTGTTATTACAGTATATATTAACATCTCACCCTCTGATCTCTCCCTGTGGTCTTCCAATTGTGCATTGTCATCACATGCTGAACTTTTCTTTCTCAGAACGTTAATGGGTTCTTGGATGCAGATGGTCTGTGCAATTCAGCAAGTTCTGTCCTGAAGTTTGCTCCCTTTTCCAAGTCTTAAGAGTTTGTACTCCGTGGCTTAGCTTTTATTAATATCTGATGTGTCTGCTCAGCCACTCGCTTTTCCATTGAGTGTTACATCTCCATTTCCAACCTTTAAGTCCACTGAGGAATTACAGTTTTCTGGGCTTTTCCTCCCAAAGGCTGTGGAAGAGATTTTGCATAATTGTGGCAGACTGTAGGTGTGCAGAGCTAAATGATGTGATAGTACAGGGTAATATAGGGTAGGAATTTTTTTTTTCTCCCCTTATGTGAAAGCACATTACTTGTCAGCTTATTTACTATTTAGGAGGACTTAAACAGTTTTAAAATGATGTTTTTTTCTAGTCCCGCCTGCACTGACAGAGGGGGATTTTCGCTATTCAGCTTGTTTGTGCCATATGCTATGTAATGCTTTTTCATTAATTATTAATTAATTAATTAATTATTGGCATCTTTCCTGGTAATAGATCATGGATATACAACATTAGCCACCAGTGTGACACTGTTAAAGGCCTCTGAAGTGGAAGAGATCTTGGATGGAAATGATGAGAAATACAAGGCAGTGTCTATCAGCACAGAACCTCCAACCTACCTCAGGTAACCAGTGTTGGTGAGGGCCAGGGTCACAATGAAGTTGCTGGAATGTGTCAGCGTGGACTGGAAGCACTGTCCTGTCCCAATAGAAATCACATAAACCTAGGGCAGTTTGCAGGGGGTGCTTGCAAGTCTGTGCTAGCAGATATTTGCAATGTTGGGCAAATGAAGATCTCCAAGTTGTAAGGATTGGGTTGTTGCCCATGTATTACAGGAAGAAAAACATTAGTGTTTGATGATACAGCTCATTTTGCAATTACTGCATTCCAGCTGTAACAGATGTTTTGGAGAACACTTTCTGCACGTACTTTTTGCTGGAGATGTCGCATTTCTCAGCAGTCCCTCTGTAAATATAGACAGGAAATCCAAATATGAACCTCGTATTTACAGTGGTACACCTGGATCCATATACGATGGATAGTTGTGAGCTGGAGAATGGACTTTGAAGGAGGTAGTGTGGAATATGAGTTCTCAGTCCACCTGTCATTAGGGAGGAGCTCGTAATTTATGATACTATTCTTAAAAATAGTGGCAGTGGTATTCAAAGCCTGCAGGTTAACACAGAGTCTCATTCTCCAGAGAACAGAAGGCAAAGAGGAACAACCAGTGGGTGCCGACACTGCCCAACAGCTCTCATCACCTGGATGCAGTGCCATGCTCAACAACAATTAACAGAAATCGCATGGGCAGGGACAAGAAGAGGACTTTCCCTCTGTGGTAAGGCAGCTTCCTTCTTCAGAAAAGTGGAAACAGTTACCAACATGACACACTGCAGGGGACTGCTCTAATAGAGAAGTGGTTGCCATGGCCTTGTAACTTTGTGTTGAGGAGTATGTCTAATAAGTGGGGCGTTGAAGTATAGGGATTGGTAACAATAAAAAGCACCTTCTATGCACGCCAGATGTATCATTTTCTATTCCATGTGCTGTGGTGTTGCTCTTTGTTCTAGCTTTGATGACCATGACCCAGCAGTCATCCATGAAAACGCATCCCAGCCAGAGGTTCTGGTTCCAATCAGGCTTGACATGGAAATTGATGGGCAGAAACTCAGAGATGCATTTACATGGAACATGAATGGTATGTAGGAAGGAGAGTTTCCTGAGGCTAGAGAC